CGGTATGAAAAAAAGCAAAGTGATTAAAGAAGCAAATCATACCACCTGGCTTCCACTTATTAAAATGAAAGTAAATCTTTGAATTAGGAAAAGGCAGAAAGTAAAGACATGTTGGTCTTAAAATATAAACAATATAATCTATCTTGAATTAGCAGCGAAAATAAATGCTGCCTGTAATGGGTTTCTTATTTTATTTTGGCTGTGCTGGGGCTTTTCTCCGGGTGCGGTGCACCGGCTTCTCACTGCGGTGACTTCTCTTGTGGAGCACAGGCTTTAGGGCTCACAGGCTCAGGAGTTGCAGCTCGTGGGCTCTAGAGCACAAGCTTAGGTAGTTGCAGCGTGCGGGCCTTGTTGCCCTGTGGCATGTGGAATCTTCTCAGATCAGGGATCAAACTAGTGTCTCCTGCATTGGCAGGCAGATTCTTTACCACTGAGCAACCAGGGAAGCCCATGTTTTACAAACAAATGATACATAACTGAAGGTGACTCTAATAGAACAGCCTGAATGAGTTTATTCCCAGGGTAAATCAAAGCTGTTAAGATATATATTTTGTTTATTTTTCTGCATTTCAAAAACTCAACAATTCATGGGTGCAGAGGAACCAGGAAAAGCATGAAGAAATGTTCTAATCATTATCAAAAATTATTAAGAACTACTTATGTCCTTAGAGGTGTATTTAGTCAACATCCAAAAGAACCACCAAGAGACACATTTGAAAAGTCACTTGTGTGTATGGACTGAAGTGTATTTTTCTTGCAAAGAGCATATGTGTGTATTATCCATGCTATTCTTAGAATAAAGAGTGCAGGAAGATGGGAAGCTATCTACCTCATTCTACTGAATGAGCTTTTGTGTCCATCCTGCAAGCAACTGATGCATCGGAAAGCTGTCCTTTCTGGATTTGCAACTCCATGTTTAACACTTCGTCTCTAGGTAATGGTGTGATGCATCTTCCTGGACATCCACCTGCATCCTAGCTTGACTTCTAAGAAAGTTGTGACTTTAGGTTGCACGTTACAAGGATAGCTAAAGTTAACTTAAGCCATTGGAGAATATATGAGAAGGGCGCAGAGTCTCTCCTAAGATCTTAGGGCAGAAATGCAGAAAAAACATAGCCAAGCTTCAGAAAGGCCCTGGTGCTTTCTCCATCTCACCACTGAGTTTTTCTGAGTAAGTCTGTTTCACTCTTCTTTCTCAGCAAAGCACCTTTCTGGGCTCTAATATCACAAAGAGGACAAGGTGGGAAAGATGGCTGCCACAGTCACAGTTACAGATGTACAGAAAAAAAAAAAAAAACTCCCAATCTCACAAAACTACTGTCTAGCCCTCCTTCTGCACAGCAGGGCTGGATGAGTTACAAGCTGGAATCAAGATTGCCTGGGGAAGTACCAACAACCTCAGATACTCAGATGATGCCACTCTAACAGCAGAAAGCCAAGAGGAACTAAAGAGCCTGTTGATGAAGGTGAAAGAGGAGAGTGAAAAACCTGGCTTAAAACTCAACAGTCAGAAACCTAAGATCGTGGCATATGGTCCCATCACTTCATGGCAAATAGGTGGGAAGAAAGTGGAAACCGTGACAGATTTTATTTTCTTGGGCTCCAAAATCACTGCAGACAGTGAGTGCAGCCATGAAATTAAAAGACACTTGCTCCTTGGAAGGAAAGCTATGACAAACCTAGACAGCATATTAAAAAGCAAAGGCATCACTTTGCTGACAAAGGTCTGTGTAGTCAAGGCCATGGTTTTTCCAGTAGTCATGTACGGATGTGTGAGTTGGACCATAACGAAGGCTGAGCACCCAAGAATTGATGCTTTTGAACTGTGGTGCTGGAGAAGACTCTTGAGAGTCCCTTGGACAGCAAGGAGATCCAACCAGTGAATCTTAAAGGAGATCAACCCTGAACATTCATTGAAAGGACTGATGCTGAAGCTGTAACTCCAATACTTTGGCCACCTGATGTGAAGAGCCAACTCATTGGAATAGACCCTGAAGCTGGGAAAGATTGAGGGCAGGAGGTGAAGCAGGGGACAGAGCATGAGATGGTTGGATGGCATCAGTGACTCAATGGCCATGAGTTTGATCAAGCTCCAGGAGACAGTAAGAACATGGAAGCCTGGCGTGCTGCAGTCCTTGGGGTCACAAAGAGTCATATACAACTGAGTGACTGAACAACAACAATGAATAAGAGAATGTGACTTTTAGAACCAGAACAAAGTTTAAAGAAAATATCCTGAATATAAGAGCCTGCCACCCTTGAATACAGTAGGTGCCCAGTAAATGCTGTCCTCTGCAGTCCCCAGATATCTGCTTTGAGCTATTGATCTGGCCTTCAAAACGGACCCAATTCTCTCTCCTTCTGGGCCTCAAACTCCCCTTTATTTCCAGTGAGTAGCAAGCTCACCGTTCCTTGGTTTCCCTCTGCGCAGAAGGAGGGCTTTACAGTTAATATACTGCCGCCTCTGATTGCAGCTTTAAGAGGTGTAACATTTGATAAGCTCCATTTAGCTTGGTTGGGCTGCATTGTTTAAATTATTCAAAGACAGATTGCGCCCCTGCCGTCCCCTCCCCCACCCCGAGGATTTCTGCTCCACTGAGCCCGCTGCCTGCCAGTTACCAGGAAGTAAGGAAGGGGAATCAGCGGGGCAGTTTCTCACTCTAGGACTGAAAATCAGTTCCAGCCGTTGTTCGCCACCCATCACACCCCATTATTCCTTGCTAATTGCGAGCCTGGTATGCGGTTAACTCTTTGAGAACAATGCCGGCTTTGATTGCCTGGGAGACGCAGGGCTCCCCTCCAGCCCTCCCCCACCCCCCCTTGCCCTCTCCCACCGTCCGCAGCTGACTCCGCCTGTCTGGGATTCCAAAGGTCTCACTTTGAGGAAGAGGAAACTTGGAGAACGGGCTTCCCAGGTGGCTCAGTGGTAAAGGATCCGACTGCCTTTCCAGGAGACTTAGGAGACCCCGGTTCAATCCCTGGGTTGGGAAGATCCCCTGGAGAAGGGAAAGGCAGCATATTCCAGTATTCTTGCCTGGAGAATTCCATGGACAGAGGAGCCTGGTGGGCTACAGTCCATGGGGTCTCAAAGAGTCAGGCACAACTTAGAGACTGAGTATGCCGGCGAAACCTGAAGAACAGCTTGCTCCCCAGGCATCACCAACTCGGTGGTGAGTTTGAGCAAGCTCCGGGAGTTGGTGATGGACAGGGAAGCCTGGTGTGCTGCAGTCCATGGGGTCACAGAGAGCTGGGCACGACTGAGCGACTGAACTGAACTGAACTGAGGCTGTCAGTCTGAAAAAACACTTCCTCCTCCTGGCCTGAGAAACAGGGATGGCAAGAACTCAGGCATCTCCCATGGATAGATCATTCACTGGAAGAGTTTGCTTAAAAGCCACTGAATAGGGACTTCCCTGGTGATCCAATGGCTAAAGACTTCGTGTTCCAAATGCAGGGGGCCTGGGTTCAATCCCTGGTTGGGGAACTAGATCCCACATGCCAAAACTAAGACCTGGTACAGCTAAATAAACAAATAAAAAATACATAAAAAATACATACAGAAGGAGGTTCAAGAGGGAGAAGAAATATGTATACCTATGGCTTTTTCGTGTTGATGTATGGCAGAAACCAACACAATATTGTAAAGAAATTACTCTTCAATTAAAAATAAATAAACAAAAAATAAAAATAAATAAACATAAAAAAAGGCAGTGACTAAATGCAGATGGTTAGCACGCAGTGTGAATGAGGGGATTATTTATTTCCATCTACCGAATTCATTGAACTTGATTTGACAGCTATTCCCTTAGAACAAATAAAAATAATTGTAAGAGAGGGCACATGACCTGCAAAGACTAAAATATCTACTCTGATCCTTTACAGAAAATATTTGCTCACCCCTGACCTTGAGTTTGGATGAAAAGAGACTAAGGCCACATAGCCACTAAATATAGCTTGTGAGCCTTTGTTGAATTGGATCCTGGACTAGAAAAAGGGCGTTAGTGAAATAGCTGGAAAATTTGAATAAGACCTGCAGATTAGATAAGAAAGTGCATCCATGTCAGTTTTTTCATTTTGATCATTGTACTGTGGTTCTGTAAGATGTTAATATTTGGGAAATCTGGGTATGTGGGAGTTCTTTGTACTATTTTTGCAACTCTTTTGTCAGTTTAAAATTATTCTAAGAGGGGAAAAAAAAAGGTCGACAGAAAAACAACTACAAAGAGATGGAGAGTCATCTTCCTGGCCAGAACCCAGGGGCCCAGGAGAAGACAGTCTTATGGTAGGGAAGCACCCAGGAGAGGAACGCAGAGTTCAGGAGGCTACCCTCCCCAGAGGACCTGAGTTCGACCTCACAGGCCCAGATGCTGCAGAAAACACACATTTGGGGAAAGGATGTGAAGTGAGGGGGGAGGGGAAGAAAGATGGTGGAAGGATGTCCATGTGGTGACCCCTCTCCATGAAACCTAGAGTTTCAGCCAGTTTACTAACCTTATGAAATACAAGTGTGATTAGATTTCTCATATAAGTTTAGGGCCCAAAGTGGTGTCAGCTGGCAGGAGGGTGAACAAAGCTGGTATACCAGAATGCGAGACCATGGTCCATAAGGAAGTGAGGCCAGTCATTCACAGAAATCTTGGGAGGCCTCAGGGCTTACCCAGGCTGGGAAACAGGAGGGGAGACAAATGTACCTAAATTGCTAAGGGGCAGATGGAGAAGGAAATGGCAACCCACTCCAGAATTCTTGCTGGGAAAAATCCCATGGACAGAGGAACCTGACAGGCTACGGTCCACGGGGTCGAAAAAGTCAGACACAACCTAGCGACTGAACAACAACAGAGAGGTCCCAAGGGCTGGGCTCCCCTCTCAGGCAGTATGGCACCGAAAATGTGCATACATCCTCACAAGGGGTCACCGAATCTCCCTTGAGAACATATAGCCAAGAATGGCCTCAGGACGATCAATGGGGCACCGGCGAGTCAGCCCCTTGGAAGTTGATAATGCCTGACTCGCTCACAGCCACTCCTGGTGCTGTTGGCTTTTCTGACCACCCGAAGCTGGCAACCAAACTGACGGAGGTCCATGTGCTGTGTGCTGGAAGCAGCACAACTGGTCTGTGGATTCTGCAGCTAGTAGCTGGTGACGAAACAGAAAGTCCTGCCCCTGCAAAAGCATCTTTAAGGAAAGAGGGTGGATTCTTCCCTCGGTGCTAAAGAATCCATCTACCAATGCAGGACAGGTTTGGCCCCTGATCTGGGAAGCTCTCACATGCCACGGAGCAACGAAGCTTGTGCACTACAACTATTGAGGCCACGTGCTGCGACTACTGAAGCCCTGGCGCCCTGGAGCCTGTGCTTTGCACAAGAGAAACCACCGTGGTAGAAGCCTGGGCACTACAGCTAGAGAGTAGCCCCCACTGCCCACAACTAGAGAAGAGCCCCTGCAGCAACGGCACAGCCAAAAACACATAAAAAATTTAAATTATTTTCAAAAAGAAAAGAGGGCATACGGAGAGCAGGAGATGCTCACCAAACAGCTCCCTGAGAACAGGCAAAGAGGCAACAAACCTCAAAATATTCACACTTGGAGCTCAGGGGAGCCAGCCCACTGCATCGGGCATTAGAAAGGCTCAGAGATACTAAGTCGAGAGCTGGGATTCGAACCTGTCTGCAGTCACGACATTGGTGTCATGACACCCATCCTGTGACTCAAGAAGGTATTTCTGGACTGGTCACCTTGGTGATTCCATCAGCACTCACTTCCTTGGCTTTATTTTGGACTCAAAGCTGCCCAAGTGATGAAATCATATTTGTCTTTGCCTAAAGCAGCGCTGTATTCTTGCCTGGAAAATTCCATGGACAGTGGAGTCTGGCCGGCTACATTCCATGGGGTCACAAAGAGTTGGACACGACTGAGCAACTGAGCGTACACACACAAAGCAGCACTTTAGTTGTTTTTTTTTTTTAAAGCACAATTCATGGTAAGAAGCATCTTTTTCACTGCAGTTCAATACACATATACCCGTGGAGGTGTATAAAATATCTGAAACAAAAGCACACAAACTGATACTAATCCTACTTGCAAAGCATTCTAGTGTTTTCTCATTTGGTGTCTTCTTTTCTCTAGCATTTAAAAGTAAAGCTACTTGCAGTCAAACACCAGCTGAAGGGAGGACTGGGGTGACCTGAGGGACCTGGAAGAAATGTCAGGTCAGCAGTGAGGCTGTGCTCAGGTGTGGCTGAATGTCCTTATCAGGAAGCTGGAGTTCTGACCTCAAGAGGTCCCCACGGCATCCGTGGGTCCTCTCACTGCCCTAGGTCCAAGGACATGCCTCAGCTCAGATGCCTGCACAGTCTTTGATTACAGTAACAATTTATACTTCACTCACATTTTCTCACTAGAAATCCCTCAGAACAACCCAGCAGAATAGGTGATGTTTTTCCTTTGTTTAACTAATGAGAAAAGTAGAAGTCAGACTGCCCAAGTAACTTGCCCACAGTCACCTATGGCCAGGGCTGAGACCTGAGTCTTCTGATGCTCTTTCCACCACGACCCTTCCCCAACATTCTGATGGTTCTCTGTTGGGACTCGGAGAATCTTCTCTCTTCCTTGGGAAATCTCTCCCAGTTCTTAAGCTCTGACTAGACTGGAGAGGTCCTTGAGGAAGAGAAATTTCTAATAATCATCTTGCAGCAGTCTATCCAACTGTTAGCCTGCAATAGGGGCTTCCACTAAGCCCTTGAGCAAATATTGAGGATTTATACAGAGACAGTAGGGGCTTCCCAGGTGGCACTAGTGCTAAAGAACCTGCTTGCCACCAATGCAGGAGACCTAAGAGACACAAGTTTGATCCCTGGGTTGGGAAGATCCCCTGGAGGAGTGCAAGGCAATCCACTCCGGTATTCTTGCCTGGAGAATCCCACGGACAGAGGAGCCTGGTGGGCTACGGTCCATAGGGTCACGAAGAATCAGCCACTACTGACTGACTAAGCATGCACGCACACATATGGAAACAGTGGATTGCTCAAGAAGAAATATGGGAAGGCAACAGTGCTTCCAGCTCTGCCTGGGAACTCTTTTAAGCTGCTGAGGTCAGAAGCAATTTGCAAAGCCCTCCAAGAAACTTGACCGAATGACGCTCTGTGCTGGGAGTTAATGTTTTTATTAATTGGTTGTGTTTGCAGCTTCTTGAAAATATTGTCGACTCACTGGCATCCACCCCCGGTCCCACTGTAACAGCCTCAGTCCAGCCCTCCATTTATCAACACAACTGCATCAAGGGATCACCTCCTGGTCTCATCCATCAAACAGGCCACTGTCTGCAGACGTTCCGGGATTTGTTGTATTTGGGATTAAATGTGGGAGGGGGTGGGGTAAAATTAACGGGATTTCTATAAATATAACTTCTCTGGCTCTTGTTAAAACTTGGGGTCACAGGAAATCTCTGGTTTCAAACAACTTCATGTGGAGTGATCCTGTTTACTTGAAATGTCTAGCCAAGATCTAACTTTGCCCATTAATACTAAATAAATAATTTCCACAGAAGCTATTTTTTGGTCATCTTTGCCAAAAATGTTGAGAAAGGGGGCCAGCACAGAAGCCTTACATGCATGTTTCATGTAAAAGCCACAAAATCATTGGGAACTAGGCTTCTTTATTTTTTAAGCTGTTTCGTGACAGATAAAACTCAGCTGGTGGTGAACCCATCCATACAAAATGATCCATCAGGGCTACCATACTTCGAGCAAAGAGAAAAAAAAAAAATCAAAGCCCCTTGTTAAAGGTGGGGATGCTGACTTTATTCAGGACATTCAGGACAGGTGTAGGGACCACTGCAATGGGATTTTACAGTGGGAGAGAGAGAGATGGGATCAACTCTGAACATATCAGTGACAAGTGGGGATTTATAGCCGAGGAGGGTGGTGGGGACCAGTGGCTGGAAAATTTCTGGGAGGAAACATCAGGACTGAGGAAGTTTCTTCATAAATTGACATAACAGGATTCTTTTTTAATTTTCATTTACTTATTTATTTAGGCTGTACTGGATCTTCGTTGCTGAGCACAGGTTTCCTCTAGTTGCAGTGGCGGGGTTTCAGGGCGGGGGGTGGTGGGAGGCGGGGGGCGGTGGGGAGGCTGGGGGAGGGGGAGGCGGGGGTCGGGGTTTTGGGGCGGGGGGGCGGTGGGGGAGGCGGGTGGTGGGGAGGCGGGGCGGAGGCAGGGGGCGGGAGGGGGGAGGCAGGGGAATCTACTCTTTTACTGCAGTACACAGGCTTCTCACTCAAGTGGCTTTTCTTGTTGCGGAAGTATGGGCTTCGTTGCTCTGAGGCATGTGGGATCTTCCCAGACCAGGGATTGAACCTGTGTCCTCTGCATTGTCAGACAGACTCCCAACCACTGGACCACCAGGGAAACTCCGGGATTCTTGATGAAGGGGAGACAGGACAATCAGACAGCACTGGGGTATGGTGCGGAATGAGGAACCTGATCAGATATCAAAGGTGATCAGATATTAAAGTTGGGGGATTAAACTGACTTAGCAGGGTTCTTGCTAAAACTAGATTTTACAAGGAAGCACACAGATGGGCCTGGGAGAAGGCTCAGGAGCCTGACTACAGTTTGGTCAGGCAGTCTTTGTCACCGGTTACCACCAAGAGGCCATTCCGTGAGCTCCATGCTCTCTTCCTATCCAAACCAGCTCCTTGAAAAGGGCCTAGCAAACGAACTTACCCAAGACATAAATGGCTCTTAAGTAGGGTGGTCAGACTGAACACATAAAAAACGCAGAACATCCTGGGACTTCCCTGGTGGTCCAGTGGTTAAGACTTCATATTTCCAATGCATGGGGCGCGGGTTCAATTCCTGGTCAGGGAACTAAGATTCCACGTGTGGCCAAGAAATAAAATAAAACTTTCTTTAAAAACATGTCATGTCCTGTTAGATTTGAATTCCAGATGAACTGTGAATAATTTTGAGTATGTCTGTCCTGTGCAGTATTCAGACCCACTTATGCTGAAAGTTCTTTGTTGTTGATCTGAAATTCAAATTTAATTGGGTGTCCTACATTTTATCTTGCCACTCTACTTGGTAAGACCCACCATGCTACTTTTCAAGGGCATTTGCTTTTTAAGAGGACAAGAGTAGACAGTAATGGGGTTAGAAGGGAACGTCTGTGGGCCTGTGCTGGCGTACCAGGTAAGAGGTGTTTGCGGCCCAAGAACTTGCTTTGATTCAGAAAGAGCAGCTTTGTCCCCTGTCCTCCGCTGTGTGGCTGAGTAACCACGCTCTGCACCTTGGCCCCCGGGATGGGTAAAAGCTGACGTTCCTGAGCACCTGACACTCGACATTCGAGGCGAGGCAGGTGTTCTGACCCCATTTTCACAAAAGAGGAAATGGAGGGCAGGGAGACCAGAATACAGGCCCCAGTTCTCCACCAAGACACAGGCCCCCAGAGCCAGGCTGGGTCATCTTGAGAGGGAACCTGCTCTCCCTTAAGTCACCAGGCTGGGCCTGCAAGGGACAGAGGTAGACAGAGATGCAGAGGGGTGACCAGACGCTTAGTAGACAAATCTAATAAAACGGGCTCTATGCAGAATGCTCAGAGGGCATTGATACTTACTGGGGAGATGGATGAAACTTCAGAACCAAAGTGATTTGGGGGCAAATCCATAAAGGAGAAGAGAAGGTCGAGTTTGGAAGGAAGTGGAATGAGTATGGATCCAATTTCTGAAAATCATCATCCCACCTGCCATCAGAGCCTCTGCTTGCTGCATGTATGTCCACTCCCACTGGTTTTGTACCCAATACAATAGGAAACTCCAAGCAAAATTTCAGAAAATAAGAGTTTCCTCAACTTTATTCCTAGGAAAGGGCCCCTGCCTGGCTACAAGTTTCTCATACATAGAGCCTCCAAAAATTGCTATTTTTCTCTGATTTGTGTACTAAGAAAATCAAGGTCAGCGTCATTCCAACCTTGGATGTGCCAACAATGCTACTCTTGAGAGGTTCAAATATCGTTGCAGGCCTCCCAGTGGTTCTCAACTGGGGCGTTTCTGGGCCCAGGGAGGACTGGATGTGACTGTAGGTAAATGGGCTTCCCTGGTGGCTCAGATGGTAAAGAATCTGCCTGCAATGCAGGAGACCCAGGTTCAATCCCTGGTTCTGGATGATCCCCTGGAGAAGGGAATGGCAACCCACTGTACTCCAGTATTCTGGTCTGGAGAATCCCATGGAGGTAAATGGGTTGTTACAACTTGAGAGTAGTGGGTCTACCACCTCCAGTGGGCAGAGGCCACGGGGGCTGCTAAATGTCCTACAGACTGCAAGACACCTCCCAAATGGAATTATCTGGCCCCAAACCCTGGCCTATACTACTGAACTAACCCTTGCATTTGAGAGGCAGCTACTGGACACCAACCAGGCCAGACACTGAACTAGATGCTTGGAATGTGAGATAAATCAGGCCTGGTCTTTGATCTCATCCACTCACACTCTGGGTGGGGAAAAAAGACCCGGAGACAGAGCTCTCAAAACTGCCTGTTAATGGGGGCTGCACACAAGTCCACGTGGGCAGAGAGAAGAGAGAAGGGTGATTCTGCCCCCAAGAAGGTCCAAGCAGGCTTCCAAGGAAGGGCCATTAGAAAAGGGCTGTGACAGATGAGTATGAGTTTGATAGCAGGGAAGAAAGGAAGAGGACTCAGGCAGTGGGTCAGAGGCTCAGAGACCTGGGGGTATATGAGTAACACTGCAAATTCCAGAAACCGTGAAGTGTCTGTGCAGCGAGAGCGCGGCCTGTCGTGAAGGAGACATGAGGGGCTGGGCAGATGGGGAGGAACCCAGTCACATGGTCACATTTGAACTTGGAAAATGAACTGTGTGTGGAGGATGGTCTGGAGCAGGCAGCCCGTGAGAAAGGATGCAGTAGCAAGAAAGCAGAGGGTGAAGCTGAGCGACTGATTCTGTCAGGGGAGGCGGGGAGGCAGAGGTCAAGATTTAGAAATTGCGGGAGAAGGGAACATGCCAATGCGGTTGACATGGAGTGGGGTCTTGCACGTCTGCTAGGGCTGCAGTAGCAAAGCCCCACAGACGGGGGGCTTCAATGCAGAAACGCATCCTCCTACAGCTCTGGAGGTGTCGGCAGGGTTGGTTTCTCCTGACGCCTCTCTCTCCAGCTTGTCGAGGGAGAGGGGACACCTCCCTGTGTCCCCATGTGGTCGTCCCTCTGCATGTCTGTGTCCTCATCCCCTCTTCTTAGGACACCAGCCATACTGGATTAGGGTCCACCCCAATGACCTCATTAAAAGATTAATTTATTAAGTTAATTATTAAATTAAATTAAAAGATGCCTGTTCCCTGGAAGAAAATCTGTGACCAAGCAAGACAGCATATTAAAAAGCAGAGACATCACTTTGCTAACAAAGGTCTGTACAGTCAAAGCTGTGGTTTTTACAGTAGTCATGGATGGACAGGATAGTTGGACCATAAAGAAGTCTGAGCACTGATGCTTTTGAACTGTGGTGTTGAAGAAGACTCTTGAGATTCCCTTGGACTGCAAGGAGATCAAACCAGTCCATCCTAAAGGAGATCAGTCCTGGATGTTCATTGGAAGGACTGATGCTGAAGTTGAAACTCCAATAATTTGGCCACCCGATGTGAAGAGCCAACTCTTTGGAAAAGACCCTGATGCTGGGAAAGATTGAGGGCAGGAGGAGAAGGGGACAACAGAGGATGAGATAGTTGGATGGCATCACTGACTCAATGGACATGAGTTTGAGCAAACTCCAGGAGATGGTGAAGGACAGGGAAGCCTGGCGTGCTACAGTCCATGGGGTCACAAAAATCAGACATGACTGAGTGATTTAACAACGATAACAACACACTAGATTAGTACCCACTCCAATTACCTCATTTTTATTTAATGCTTCTTTAAAGATCTTTAAATACAGTCCCATTTTAAGGTCCTGGGAGGTCAGAACCTGGGGTCTGAGAGGGCATTAGCCCCCACTGGGAAGGGACTGAGCTGTCTTCTCCAACATTTCCCTGGGAGCGGTCAGGGTCCCACTGGTTCAGAGATGCTGACTTAGCAGCAGGAGAAATGTAATGATGTCCCATGGACCACGCAGCCAGCAGGCTCTCCAGTCCAGAAAACAAGACATGCCATATATTGAGCCACTGCTGAGGGATGGGTATGTTATGTGCGGTGCCGTTTCCTCCTCACAGGAGGATGCAGGCAGCTGCTCTCATCCTTGTTGTAGAGACTAGGAGACGGAAGTCCAGAGAGCTCAAAACACTTGCCCATGTTCTCACAGCTCACAGCAGCGAGTTCAGAAGCGGCGCTCCTTGCCTTCTCCTGCACATCTGCCTGGCTGCCCACCAAGCCCGGTGTCTGCTTAAGGCCTGGCCCTGTGTCCCTCGGGGGGACCTTTTGCCTCTGCGTCACCCATCTCTTGCCTGGCAGAGCCCCCACTTTGCCAGAGATGTGCCCGTGGAAACAACAGGTAGCTCCCGGGCCACCGGAGCCTCGGGTCAATATTTACCCAGTAATTCAAGCAGGCAATAAACAGCTTACAGGTAGCCTCCCTCACACACCACACAAACTTCCTCGGCCCTTGGACTGGGCCCAGCCCCAGCAGATCTGGGCCGGGGCCACCCCTCCTCAGTCCTGGGGGCACAGTGGAAACCCCTAGGGGAGTTTTGAAAAATCCTGATGCTCAGGCCACCACAGACCAGCGAAATCAGAGCCTTAGGAGTGGGACTCAAACCTCAGGCTCTCAGATTCTTATAAGGCTCCCTGGTGGGCAGCCAAGGCCAAAGGGATGCAGCCATCTACAGATGTGGTGGAGAGATTTACTGTCCCTGTCCCCAAGGGGCGTGACACTCAGAACAGCACACCACTCCCTCTTCTGCACATTCTCACCTCCAGCCGACCCCAGGAGGACACAAGCATTTACTTGCACGTGCAAACCCACAGTCAGACACAGGCAGGCACACGCCGGGACCTTCTGTCCTAAACCCATAGGAGACAAGTTTTCTGGGTGATGAGGCATGAGTCACTTGCCCTGGCTCACCCCGCAGATCACCCCGGCATGGACTGTCCTAGCAGCGGGCTCAGCCCTCAGTGCTGGCAAAATAGACATGTCAGGTCCGCCCCCGCCCTGAGATGTCCGTTCCAGGCAAGGAGATGCCAGCAGGCTGCCAGCATGGAGCATCACAGTTGGGGAGTGAGAGGGGACTTGGCAATGGTGCCAGTCCTTCTTTTCTGTGGCCCAGAGAGGTGCAGGGGTGTGCCCGGGGCCACACAGAAAGGCCCAGCAGAATGACACTGGTAGCTGCCTGCATCTCCGGCTGCCACTCTGGAATGGCCACTTCTCTCAGGGGACGGCTCCGTTCACACACTCAAGCCTGACAACCTCAGAAGTACAAGAGGTTTTCCCCCCATTTTATAAGTAAGGAAACTGAAACTGAGGGGTTTTTCTCTCCCTCTTTTTTTCAATTATAGTACAGTGGTAAAGAACCCCCCTGCCAATACAGCAGACATAAGAAATGCTGGTTCAATTCCTGGGTTTGGTAGAATTCACCTATGGAGCCATCCAGTCCTGAACTTTTGTTTGTTGGAAGTTTTTAAATTATTGATTCAATTTCATTACTCAGAACAGGTCTGTTTATGTTTTCTGTTTCTTTCTGGTTCAGTCTTGGGAAGTTGTATGTTTCTAAAAATTTGTCCCTTTCTTCTAGGTTGTCCATTTTATTGGCATAGAGTTTTTCATAGTAGTCATTTATGATTTTTTGTGTTTCTGTGGTATTGGTTGTAACTTCTCCTTTCTCATTTCTGATTTTATTGATTTAAGTTCTCTCCCTTTTTTTCTTGATGAGTCCATTAAGCATGCAATAGTATTATGTCTAAAAAATATATACATCTTAATTAAGAAACACTTTATAGCTAAAGAATGCTAACCATCATCTGACAATGCAGAGTTGCCACAACCCTTCAATTTGTAAAAAGAAAAAATAATAGTAATCCCCCCAAAAAACCCCACAAAAATGTAGTGAAGGAAGTACAATAAAATGAGGTCTGCCTGTACTGATTTCCACAGAAGCTGCTTTATTCCCACCAACAGTGCATAAAGGTGCCAATTTCTCCATGTGTTCACCAGTACTGGTAGGGCGAAGTTCACACCCAAACATCTAACTGCAAGAACTTGCTTCTAACCATTGAAATAACACGTGTGGAGCTCTTGAAACAGTGGCTCGGGTGGATTAAGTACCCTGTAAATGTTAGCTATTACTGCCATTAACAGTACGGCCACTCAACAGCACTACCACCAGTAGTACCATTAACATTACCACTACTATTACTACCAGTGGTTATTACTACTGCCATTGCTACTATTAACTGTGCTGCTCCTCTTGTGTGTGTGTGTGTGTGTGTGTGTTAGGCAGGCAGTTGTGTCCAATTCTTTGCAACCCCATGGACTGTAGCATGCCAGGCTCCTCTGTCCATGGGATTTCCCAGGCAAGAATACTGGAGTGGGTTGCCACTTTCCTCTCTGCTGCTACTCTTATTACGATTAATATTACCGTGACTGCTTTGACACAGCCACCAGGATAACCACCACACCGGCAGCTGAGTTCTGTCAAGTACTTGCTAGGTACAAAACTCTTCTGTACACAGTATCTCACAGACTCCTTGCAACAACCCCATGAGATGAGCCATGACGGCTCTTCCTAGAAGGCACAGAGGGACCCGTTTGCCCAATCACCCAACTAAGGTGGGGCAGAACCAGGATTCGTGGTCCGACCCGAGAGCTTCCCTTCGCTGGAATCCCAGAACCAGCATGGAAAAAATGCAGAATTCATCCGCACACTTGATGATGGAGCTCCCATCTGGGGCGTCCGCCTCCAGTCTGGGAGCACCATCCCCAAGGCTTTTGGACAGACAGACCCGTGTGCTGTGCTGTGGCAGAGCCGAGGCCAGACGGCCACAGCCTGCGGGGCTCCCTCGTCACAGGAGCCGACCCGCAGGTCAGGGTGAGGGGGGGGGTGTGGCGGTGCCTGAGCCCTCACCTGCTCACATTCGGCCACACCAACATTCTCTCGTGTTTGCGGGAGACGCTTGCCCCAATAGTCTCGGGAGAGAAAGGTGTCTGCCACCACTCTGAGAAGCCAGGCACGGAGCTGCCTTGCCCTGCGCAATAGACCGAAAGGAATTTTGAGTTTCTGGGCAACCAGACAAGGAGGAAACAAAGAGTGTGGGAAGGAGGAAGGTGACACCAGGAGCAGGGTCGGGGAGAGGGAGGAGCATGGCGGCTGCTGCCCTGCACAGGCGAGCTGCCAACACAAAACCCTCCCGCCCAGGCCACAGAGCCCCGGACAGTATGCCCAACGTCGCGTTTATTTCAGAGGCTTGTTAATATTTATTTGTTTGACTGTGCCGGGTCTTAGCTTTGGCACGAGAGGTCTAGTTCCCTGACCAGGTATTGAACCTGGGCCCCCTGCATCGGGAGCACGGCGTCTCAGCCACTGAAGCACCAGGAAAGTCCCACATGCAATTTTCTAAAGCATAGAGTTTGTTACAGTGCTGCTTCTGTCTTATATTTGGGGGATTTGGGGCCCTGAGGCACATGGGATCTTAGTTCCCTGACCAGGGATGAAACACAAACCCCCTGCATTGGGAGAGGCAGCCTTAACCAGTGACCCACTAGGGACGGCCCCCTAGGCCTAGGGACGTTGGATTTTTTTAATAACAAAGTAAGTCAAAACTTTATTCTTCCCTGTATATTAACTATATTATAATATTTTTATTACTTTTAATTAGCATTCCTTTTCCAATGTTGCATTTAAATGTGTTTGCTGTGTTTTGTCCTGAGAGGTGACACCCTTTTCCTATTACCCAGGCCTTTAGCAAAAGTCAACCTAACCCAAATGTGGACCATCTCTGATGCTTTGGGACATGAAACAAGAGGAGTGTCATCCAGCAAGTTTGAGAGAAGACCCTTCTGTCAGTCATTACTGGAAAGTAGGGGCCACCCATCTCTCCCAAATGCCTGAATCAATTCTGCCTGGATCCATGTCATCAGCTCTTTTTCAAAATTAACCACAGTAATTGAAACTGAAACTCTGTACCCACTAAACACTAAGTCCCCATTTCCCCTCCTTGCAGCCCCGGGCAATCCCCTTTTTTGCTTTCTGTCTCAATGAGTTTGGCCACTCTGGATACCTCGAATAAGTGAAATCTACAGTATTTGTCCAACTGTGGCCGGATTCTTCAATGACCATAATGTTCTCAAGATTCCTCCATGCTGTAGCCTGTATCAGAATTTCCTTCCTTTTTAAGGCTGGATAGTATTCCACTGTATGGATGGACCATATTTGGTTTATCTGTTCATCCACTGATGGACACTTGAGTTGTTTCCACTTTTTGGCTTCTGTGAATAATGCTGCTATGAACAAGGATGTCAAAATATTTTTTTCAAAATCTTGCTTTCAGTTCTTTTGGATTTATACTCCAAAGTGCAATTGCTGGGTCATCTGGCAATTCTCTTTAATTTCTTGAAGAACCACCATACTGTCTATCACAGCAGCTGCCCCATCTTACAGTCCCACCGGCCGTACACAAGGGTTCCAATTTCTCCACATCTTCCCCACACTTGTTACTTTCTGTTTCCTCAGCTCTTTTTAAAAAGTATTTATTTATTTAGCTGAGCTGGGTTTTCATTGCAGCATGCAGGATCTAGATCCCTGGCCAGGGCTTGAACCAGGCCCTCTGCATTGGGAGCACAGAGTCTTAGCCCTCAGACCACCAGGGAAGTCTCCTGCTCAGCTATTTCTTCCTCACTACAGGTCTCAACCTCTCTCGACTTACTGCAGAAGTGATAAGTGCAAATATTCACTCTTCTGATGTATTTTTCCTCCAGAACTCCCAATTTCTGCAGGGTCCTGTGTGCCCAGTGTTTTACTTAGGTGGTGGTGGTTTAGTCGCTAAGTCATGTCTGACTCTTTGCAACCCTGTATACTGTGGCTTGCCAGGCTCCCTTGTCCTCCACTATTTCCTGGAGGGAACTATATTCAATTTCCTATGATACCGCGATAGTGGAAAAGAATATTTTTAAAATGCATATGTGTATAGAACTGAGTCACTTTGCTGTACAACAGAAACTGGCACAACAGTGTAGATCAACTATACTTCAAAAAGAAAAAGACACCTACCTCTGGAAAACAAGAAGTGTGGGTGGTGGGAGGCTAGGGAAAGGTAATTAGCAGTTGTTGAATAGTTCCTCTGGGCAGGCACTGTGCTCTATGTTTAACATATTCTACAGCATAGAACTCTCACGCTCCTGAAGAATATGCAATATTAGCCCTTTTACAGATTAGGAAGCCAAGGTTTACAAGGAGTTAGCAGCTTGCTCGTTAATGATGGGGATGTAAGCTCAGATGTAGCCATAACCAAAAATCCTGCTTCTTCCCAACAGTCGGCTTCCAAACAGTCAGCTGCAGTCGACTTCTGTTTCCCCGCCTCTCTGCTGTGATGGTGAAGCAGCGGGTGGGGGGAAGGTTTGGGTGCTGAGACTTCAGACCAGGGAGCAGTGCTTTGCAGGCCCAGGGCTGACATTCACCTTCCCCTCCAAGTGAGCAGTCTCTGGAGGTCTGACCTCCACTCAGAGGAGACTGACTTGAAAGCAGGGTGGTGTTTATACATTTATTATGACCAGATGGTGACAGGATGCCTGGCTTCCAATCAGTCACCATCTCCTGCCTCAGGAAGTGAAATCAAGGTCAGAGTCAGACTGATATGCAGAGAGTCCATGCAAAGTGAAATGAGCATTTTAAAAATTGTTTATTTATTTATTTCTGACTGTGCTGGGTCTTCATTGCTGCGTGGGCTTCTCTCTAGTTGCAAGAGTAGGGGCCGCTCTCTAGTTGCGAGGCACAGGGTTCTCACTGTGGCAGCGTCTCTTGTTGTGGAGCACGTTTCTAGGGTGAGTGGGCATCAGTAGTTGCGGCTTCCGCGTTCTAGAGCACAGGCTCAGCAGCTGTGGTGTTTGGGCTTAGCTGCCGCCGTGGCATGTGGGATCTTCCCGGATCAGAGATCGAATCCGTGTCTCCTATGTTGGCAGGCAAATTCTTTACCACTGAGCTACCAGGAAAGCTCAAAATCAGGATTTTCTGTTGTGATAAATACACCTAAGATGGACCATCCTAACTCTTTTCAAGTGCACAGCTCAGTGGTGTTAAGGACACACACTGTTATGCCACCGCCGCCACCAGCCATCTCCAGGCGGTTTTCATCTTCCCAAACTGAAACTCCATCCCCATTAAACCCTAACTCCCCCTCCCCCTTCTCCTCAGCCCCCAGGCACCCATCCTTCTACTTTCTGTCACTGTGACTCCGACTACCCTAGGAACTTCGTGGATGCAGAATCATCCAGCATTCATCCCTTTGTGGCTGGCTTATTTCACTTAACGTAACGTGTTCAAGGTTGAACTTAGGAATTTTAAGAATCCTTTGCATCAAGTGCTCCAGCCTGGTGAGTCACCCGCTCTGCTGAGGGGTCCCGCACCAATTGGCCTGCACTAGATAACCACCCAGGAGCCCACCCCGGCCTCTCCCTGTGGACCACACCTCCAAGAGAGCCGTGCCCTAACAGCAGCTCTCCTCTTCGTGTCTGCACCCTTCCAGACCTTGCTAAAGCCCCCAGGTGTCCAGATTACTTTTCTATTTTTTTAGCACTTCTAAAAATTATTATTATTATTAATGTTTGGCCACACCTCGCAGCATGCAGGATCTTATTTCCCTGACCAGGGCTTGAACCCGTGCCCCCTGCAATGGAATCACAGTTTTAACCACTGCACCATCAGCGAATTCCCCCAGATTACTCTTCACTAACTTGCTTTGGAGGATGCTTCCCATGAGAGCTTCATGGGCCCCTTAATCTCATCAGGACTAAATACATTCCCAACCACAGGGGGCTTCCCAGGTGACTCAGTGGTAAAAAAGCTGCCTGCCACGCAGGAGACTAAGGTTCCATCACTGGGTGGGAAAGATCCCCTGGAGAAGGAAATGGCAACTCATTCCCGTACGCTTGCCTGGGAAATCCCATGGACAGAGGAGCCTGTTGGGCTATTGTCCATGGGGTCACTAAAGAGTCAGAAGCAACTTAGCAACTAAACCACCACCACCACACGGAGGAGGGGTGGGGTTCCCTTGGGGCAAGCATCCTTAATTAACAACTCCTCGATCTGCAGGTTCTTGGTCGCTTTCTGTAGAGCTGGGCGGTTGCAGCCCTTATTCTAGTTTTCTGCCTGCTTGAGCCATCCACTCAAATACACAGCCCTCGCTTCACTTTTCCAGAATGAAGATGACTCCTGGGACCTCCCCACCCTTCCCCACCTCACACCAGCTGCCCCGCCGCCTGGCAACCTGCCTGTGCCCACCTCACTGCTCCGGAAAAGACTCTCCGTCAGCCATCCCTTGAGGGTCAAGGTCACTCGTCCGTCCTGCCCACCCACCGGCTGCGCAGACTTCCCAGGCAGCTCCACCCTGCCCTCTTGGGAGCACAGGCCTGGGATTGCATCACGCACACCTTTAGACTGCCAGTGCCACATGGGCAAGGACTCTGCTATTTGTCTTGGCTACACCTTTTTCATTAATTCCCTGCTGCCCTCGTTTATGGCCCCATAAAACGACAGGATTAGAAAGAAATAAATAACCAATTGGCCGTTGGTGCTCCTTTAACAGGGGAGAGGTTGGGAGGGTCCTCCTTTCCAAGTCCAGAAGTGAAAATGTCACCTTTCACCTCAACAAGGTGAGGAGCCCAGGAGACCTTGCGAAGCTCACCAGGTCCCCTCTGAGCCGGTCCTGTCTGTTTCCAAAAGGCCCTTCTCCCCAAGCCAAGTCGCCTTCATGACCCCTCTGCTTCTCCTGCCTCACCCCATCTCCCAGCCTATCTGTATCCCTGCGGTCTTGATACTTGTAACAAGGGGGTGGGGGCAGCTCTGGGCTTCACCGCAAGCCTTCATCACCACCCCATTTTCCTTCCTGGATCCCAGACTGCTAAAGTCCTCCCTTTCCCTGCTTTCCCTAGAAATCCATTCTACGGAGCCTCTCTCACCTGTTACTGTTAATAACTGGTGGAGAATAAAACCAAGAGACCATCCCCAGAAGCACCCTCCTCATCTTCCAAGCCCGGGGATGGGGCACTGTGGACCACTCGCCCCAGGGGGGTTGGGGGGAGCAGCAGGACCAGCCTGCCCTTGTTCCCAGGGAGCCCTGGACCTCTCACACCCCTCATCAGTTATCCCAGCTGACTCTCTGGAAGACCCAGGTGACAAAGCTCATCACCTCTCTCAGTGGTGGAAGGCTCACTTCCAGGACAATGTCCCAACTCTGCACTGTAGAAACCACCTGCCTTTGCATCTTACTCTCTGGCCCATTTGTAACAAGTGGGGAAACCCTCTTTTCATAGTCAGACATGCTGCTGTCAACCCCTCCCGTCTGGGCTGGAGCACGGTCCTCCCCACACTCCTCACTGCTGCCATAGTAACCTCACTGGGCAACATCAGGAGCCTCCAGGGCTTCAATCAGAAGTCCTAAATGATCCCCCACCTTACACAGAATGGAACACTCGAAGCCCTGAGCACACTGACCCCAGCTGTCCCTTCCAGAACTTCCTCCATGACCTCAGTATAAGTACCTCACGCTGCAATCAAGAGCGCCTGCTCATCCTTCAGAGAATGGGTGTATGCTCTTCGCTTTTTTCAGGGGAATATGGACTTAAAGAAGAAAGAATTCAGTTTTAAAGAAGGGAGTTACCATACTGTGTCTGATGGTGGTGGGGACAATCCAGGAAAGAACAGGTGAGCCTGAAGAGAGAAGGGAGGTTTGCTAGAGCCACGTCCTTGAACATGGGGAAGGAGTGAAGCCAGCCCACAAGACAGGGAGAGAGTGGCTCATATAAGAGCGAGGACAGCATGGCCATGCCCAGACGAGGAGGGGCGGACAAGCCCAGAGACAGAGGCAGGGGCTGGCAGCCCATGGGTGGCTCCTGTTCTCTCAGTGATATAAGAAGCTGAGACAGAGTGGGTGGATGTTGGAGGTCTAGGAAGAGAGAAGGAATGAAATACAGGATGACAGCAACTATGAAAATATATAACTACATCTGTGTAGCTCTGTTTCTCTGTCTACATGCCAGCTCCCTCGCCCTCTATGAAGCCTGGAGAGAAATACATCAGAAGGTGATATGAGGCTCTATCTGAACACGTGTTTTATGAGGGGTTCCTGCTTTCTTCTTTGCATATATCTGTGTTTTCCAAAACATATCCAGTGAGTGTGAATTAATTTTACAGTTAAAATATAATTCTTAGCAACAAAAATAAAATTAATTACAGGCTGGCATCTGAAGTAGACAAAATGGTCACCTTAGAAAGTAACTTAGGAGGACCTTAAACTAGAGTCAGTTGAAGGGAGAAGGCAGCAAGCACCTCAAAAGCACATAACAAAACGCCTCTCTCCAAGCTAGTCTCATGTTACAAGCCCTAGTTGCCTCACAGACCAAGGATGGCTTAAAACTAAGAAAGGGTGACACTGAAGCACAGACAAGAAAAACAAAAAATCCACTGGACTACATCAGACCTAGGTGCATCTAAAGACTAGGATTCTAGGTTTTTACTGCCAGGGCCCAGGTTCCATCTCTGGTGGGGGAACTGAGATCCTGCAAAGCCATGTGGGGAGTGGCCAAAAAATAAAAGTTTTAAGATACTATCAATGAAGTGAAAAAGCAACTTTCAGAATGGCATCAAATATTTGCCAATTCTATTCCCGATTAGGAGTTAACATCCAGACTATGCCAAGAATTCCTACAACTCAGTTCAGTTCAGTTCACTCACTCAGTCATGTCCGACTCTTTGCAACCCCTTGGACTACAGCATGCCAGGCCTCCCAGTCCATTGCCAACTCCTGGAGTTTACTCAAACTCATGTCCATTGAGTCGGTGATGCCATCCAGCTATCTCATCCTCTGTCATCCCCTTCTCCTCCTGCCCTCAATCTTTCCCAGCATTAGGGTGTTTTCCAATGAGTTGGCTGTTCACATCAAGTGGCCAAAGTATTGGAATTTCAACTTCAGCATCAGTCCTTCCAATGAATATTCAGGGTTGATCTCCTTTAGGATGGACTGGTTGGATCTCCTTACAGTCCAAGGGATTCTCAAGAGAGTCCTACAACTCAACAACAGAAAAATCAGATCACCCCATTTAAAATGATCAAAGGACTTGAATAAACATTTCTCCAAAGAAAACACACAAAGAACCAGTAAGTACATGAAAGGTGCTTTCACGAATCATTCAGTGATCAATTCAGTTCAGTCACTCAGTTGTGTCTGACTCTTTGTGACCCCATGAACCGCAGCATGTCAGGCCTCCCTGTCCATCACCAACTCCCGGAGTCCACCCAAACCCATGTCCATTGAGTTGGTGATGCCATCCAACCATCTCATCCTCTGTCATCCCCTTCTCCTGCCCTCAATCTTTCCCAGCATCAGAGTCTTTTCCAATGAGTTGGCTGTTCACATCAAGTGGCCAAAGTATTGGAGTTTCAACTTCAGCATCAGTCCTTCCAATGCACACCCAGGACTGATCTCCTTTAGGATGGACTGGTTGGATCTCCTTGCAGTCCAAGGGACTCTCAAGAGTCTTCTCCAACACTACACTTCAGAAGCATCAATTCTTTGGTGCTCAGCTTTCTTTATAGTCCAACTCTCACATCCATACATGACTACTGGAAAAACCATAGCCTTGACTAGATGGACCTTTGTTGACAAAGTGATGTCACGAATCATTAAGGACATGCGAATCAGAACTAAACAAGGAAAATAAATTTACATTAAACAGCTGGTGAAAAATTGCCAGCAGACCTATGCTATTTTATCCAGGAAGAGTGAGGCTGTTTCACTGCGGTGTTTGAAGCATGAGATGAGACTCCCTGCTCACTCTGTGCCAGCTCCTGGGCCATGAACTTGAGCTCAGGCAAAGCTGGCACTCTTGCTGCCCTCCTGCATCCCTGGGCACACTCACCAAGGGCCAGCTCAGGAGCTGGGGAGGAAGGGGCTTGGGCCAGGCCTCCCTGCTGGTGAAAGGTGGAGCCCCGCCCAGGTCTCTGACTCCACCTCCTGAGTCCACTCACCACCTGCAACCGCTTTCCTGACACCAACAGACTTTAGAGGTCAGAAAAATCTCAGCCACCCCATCACATCTAATTTCAGCCACCCTCCCTCACCACCTTCACCTCTCTGCTTCAATCCATCCCTATTTCTTTATTTCCAAAACTCAGGCTTCCTGCTCCCCCAAGGAGCCATCTCCTTGATTGTCAGGGGTGTTCTCCCTTCTGCACCAATTTGTTGCTGGCATGAGGTAGCAACTTCCCCCTTCAAGCCTGTTCTTTCCCACCAGGGCCCTTTAACCTCACGGACCAATTTTTAAGTCCCTCAAATCTACAAGTCTTCTTCCATCAAGCGAGACGTTACCTGTCCTCTCCCCTGGGGTAGTCTAAACATTCATCTGAAGAAAAAGACATTTATTGCCTAGACAATTGAAGATAAGAAAAGATTGTCTGTCTGCCCAAACAGCTTGGGTTGGGCCAGAGTTGCGGCATTGTCAGAGTGATTTTAGCACAGACTCTGCTAGACATGGGGCTCTTACAAACTCTAGATAAGGCCCTGGTCTTTATAAGGCTTGGAGGAGTGGAAGAGAGGCCGGGAGTTGCATGAGACTTGCCACTGTAGATAAGGAGGATATATATTTTGTTTAACCAGACCTGTCCTTTGGCTGGAAACCCCAATGAAGTAGCATCCATCAAATCCTTTTCTGATTTACATGAATCCCTGATTCCCCCGATAAGGAAAAGTGTAAGTCAACACAGCTCTGTTGTAATTGGGTGTTACCTGCTCAGATACCAGACTTTTTATCTATAGATTCTTTTGCAGGCTCCCTTTGGCTTTATCTGCTTTGTAGGTGCGACCAAATTATCATGTGTGTGTGTGTGTGTGTGTGTGTTCCAAGGGCCTGTTCATGAATATGTCCCAGAGAAATACATCAGAGAATTAGTGATTGGAATCCAAAGAGGGGGGAAAAAAAAGGAAGGTGGCAGGAAGATGATGAATCTATTTAATAATCATACCTAAGCCTTCCCGTACTGTCTGCTCCATGAAGATATCTGCAATTCATCACCCATAACATGGGGAAGCCAAACTCAGGGCTGCCCTGATAAGAGGCTGATGCTGGGGTAAATCACCCACACCTCCAGACTCAGTTTCTCCACCTATGAGAGGGAAAACTGTATGTACCACCATGGAGCTATCATCAGGATAAATGAGCTGTGTTTCACCAAGTGATCTTAAAACAGGAAGGCTGGTGGATTAAATAAAGATTTACAAAGAATTATGTCTAAATGATCATTATGTATGATGTGCTTCAGGACGGTGATAGATGATGCCTGAAGAGATCGCCAGAGAGAACCTACTTCCAGGGGCTCATTTTCCAAATGGAAAAAAAAGAAAAACACACATACTCCCCTCCCCACTTTCCCTCTGCTGGTCAGGTCAGTATCCAGGGAAGATAAGTTCGAGCTACAAGTCACTGGTAGCTCAAAGTCCACCCTTCTATCCTGAAGAGTGATACTTAGAATTTTTAGCAAGGCAGAGAAGCAGCAAGGATACAGTGTTAAGCAACCTGGCAGAATACAGTGGGGATTGGCGTATATACACTACTATCTATAAAATGATGGCTAGTGGGAATCTACTGTAAGACACAGGGAACCCCACTCAATGCTCTGTGGTGACCTCAGTGGGAAGGAAACGCAAAAAAGAAGGGATATAGGTATACGTATAGCTGATTCACTTTGCAATACAACAGAACTAACACAACACGGTAAAGCAACTATACTCCAGTAAAAATTAAAACAAACAAAAAAACAGTATATATACTACAATTGCAGTTGTGCTGAGTGTGTGCCTGGGAAAGCAGTATTTCAAAACGAATGGAAGTAATTGTGCTTGAGGGTGTGTTTTAGCTTACATTTTAGTCTCTAACATTACTGCATTGGTACTGGTCTCTTAAATTGTGACACTCTCTTTGCCAAAGTGTTTTTATACAGAAATGTGAAAGTGTACCCCACTGTGACTCCCCAGTCTCTTATCTTGTTCTCCCCGGTGAACTAGCTTTAAGTTACACATGTATTTCCAGACCTTCCTAGCTACAAACCTGACTCTGAATGTTTGTAGTGATTTTTTTTTTCATTGAAAAGGGGTGAGATTCTCAAGTCTCACTACTCAACACCCAGGAACAACCTGTCCTGGGATACAACAGAGCGTGGAGGATGGGGGAGGGTGTACTCTCCACTCAGACCAGGAAAATGTGACTGTGGACCGAGGTGAGAACAGTTCATTCACCTTCCTAAGGGGAGACTTTACTCCCAGAAAAGAACTGACTCAGCCTGGCCCCTCCTGGTGCGGCTTCTTCCCCTTTAGCCCAAAAACACCCAAGTGTGCTGGCCTGTGGACCCAGCCGCCGCTGATGAGTCAGAGGCCAGCTTGACGGAGGCAGCAGTAAGTCAGTGTGCTGATGAGTCAGAGGCCAGCTTGACGGAGGCAGCAGTAAGTCAGTGTTCGTGAGTGACCTGAGAAAGACAAATCATAAAACAAGAACCCTGAGGACAGCAGGTGGAACAAGCAAGCACCATGTGGTCTGTATGTGGATTGTCTTCCTGGGAAAGCTACCAGGGCCCAATTCAAACACCACCTTCATAGCACATTCATTTATGCTGAGCTCTCGGTGCTCATAGTGGACTAATCCAAACCTTGGAACAGGTTTCTTTCACGAGCAGGTGCCCCAGTAGCCCCCAAGTATAAGGAACCCACCCCCCATTCACACACAGGGCTTCCCAGGTGGCACTAATGGTAAAGAACCTGCCTGAAATGCAGGAGACAGAAGAGATATGGGTTTGATCCTGGGCCTGGAAGATCCCCTGGAGAAGGGCATGGAAACCCACCCCAGTATTCTTGCCTGGAGAATTCCATGCACAGGGGAGCCTGGCGGGCTACGGTCCATGGGTTTGCAAAGAGTCGGACACAACTGAAGTGATCTAGCACACACGCATGCATACACGTACCATTCCCATCAACACACCCCTCCATCCACTGACCCCAAAATTGTTGCAAGTTTTCTCCACACTTAGAGTTGCCACATTTGCAAGTAAAAACTCTGGACACCCAGTCAAATTTGAATTTCAGATAAATAACAAATTCTGTTTCAGTCTAATAACAAAAGAATTAACATTCAAGTCACTGGAGCTCCAGAAGAGAAACAAAATGGGTAAGGCTGAAAATAAATTTAAAATTTTTTAAAATAAACATTAAAAATGCTTAAAATTTCCAAATTTGACAAAAGATATAAACTTAGAAATTCAAAAAGTTTAGTGAAGCTCAAACAGGATAAATCCAGAAATCCAGTTCCTCACAACCTATTTAATATAAAATAGACCATTTGAATAGCCCTACAACTCTTAAGAAAGCTGAATTTATAATTTTATTCCCCCCAAAGAAATATCCAGGCCCAGAGGATTTTATTGGAGAATTCTACCAAGTGTTATGAAGAAATCTCACCAGGCCCACACAATCTCCTCCAGAAACTATACGTGGGAGAGACATTTCCCAAGGATTTTATGAGGCTCGTGGTACCAAAAGAAGACTAAGAAATACACAAAAAGAACATGACAGACCAATGTCTCTCATTTATATAGATGCAAAAATCTTAACAAAATGTTAGCAAATAGAATACAACAACTGATCAAAAGAATTGCATACCATGACTAAGAGATTTATTCCAGAGATGTAAAGTTGGTTCAGTACTTGAAAACTATTCCGTGTAATTCACCACATTAATAGGCTAAAAAAAGGTAAGTCATGAGATCATATCAATCGGTACAGAAAAAAGCTTTCCACAAAATTTGACATCCATTCATGATGAAAACTCTCTGTAAACCAGAAATAGAGGAAAATTTTCTCATCCTGATAGACAGCATTTACAAGAGACCTATGGCTAACATCATACTTAATGGTGAAAGACTGAATGGTTTCTCCATAAAATTGAGACTAAGATGAGGATTTCCACTCCAAACCCTTCCATTCAACATAGTGTTTCCAGAAGTTCTAGCAAAAATAATAAAGCAAATAAAAGAAATAAAAGGAATACAGGGAGAAATAAAAGCATGCCTATTTGCAGATGATATGATCACATAAATAGAAAATCCTGAAGAACCTATGAAAGAAAGCACTCTGGAATGCATAAATGCGTTCTATATGGTTGCAGAATACAAGATCAACCATTAATTACATGTGATAAAATGACATAGAACTATACACATGGCACTACGTCAGTTTCCTGGTTTTGATATTGTACCTTATGTCAGATGTAAGCATTGAGGGAAACAGGTAAAGGGTACATGTACTCTGTGCTGTCTTTGTATCTTCCTATGATGTATGTAAATCCGAGGTGTATCAGCAGCCAAGGGACTTTCCTATGAGAAAAACCTGTAAAGAGAAGAGCTGTGGGGCTGTGATGAGTCTCCTCCCACTTCAGTACCATGTCTCTCTTTCAGTTAAGCATAGCTGCTGGTCTGGGATGAGAACAATGACTGCACCTTCTTCCTTTTAAAACATGGAATGTCAGAGCAAGTCTTGCTCATTTAGAATTTGATATAAAGTGCTTGTCGAACCATAAGAAGGAAGGAAATTTAGTTTATTTGATTCCGCAGTCTCCACATTTATAAGGACCAAACAAGTCAACAGAATCATGGATTATTCTGTTTGTGCAGCCTAGGACTTTTTCAGTTCCAAGAGTCTAAAATAATTCAGATTAACTTAATAAAGGCAAAGCTGAATCCAGGGGATTAAAATTTGTCATAAGAGTCTTCACGATCCAGCAGGTTCTCTTCCAGATGTGCAGCCTGAAGACATACATCACACCAAATTTGGAACCCAGCTGGAATAGACAGATGGCTTTCTCTGGTTAGAACGTCTCAGGGAAATTCTGAGTGCATCTTCAAATTGGCCACCTTGGGATACCTGCTCCAACTAAGCCACAAGGAACAAGTATCCCATAGCAAAGAGGATTCTGCCACTTGAAGAAGGGATGAGTCAAGACCCAGGACCAACACTCCAAAGGAGTCCTCTCTGCCCTTGAAAGGGAAATCACCAAGTGGTCTCTACCCCTGCAGACTTCACTTTCCAGAAAGAAAAACAAGATGAACCCAAATGCACAATTCACATGTAAACATGAGAGGTAGGAGATCGGGTGGTGCCAGCGGTAAAGAATCCACCTGCCAATGCGGGAGACATCAGAGACATGGGCTCGATCCCTGGGTCAGGAAGATCCCCTGGAGGAGGACATGGCAACCCACTCCAGTATTCTTGCCTGGAGAATCCCATGGACAGAGGAGCCTGGCAGGCCACAGTCCACAGGATCAAAAAGAGTCAGACACAGCTGAAGTGACTTAGCAGTGGCAGCAGAAGATTGCAAATATGAACACATTGAATCTCAGCTTTATGAAGACATGGGTTGAGTAAAAGGCCAGTCAAGTGTTAATAATGAAATGCTGAGCTGGCCTCTGGATTGTCTGGGCAGGGGCAGGACTCAGATGACTCTCATGGGGGGAATGCCCAGGAGCAGTTTCAAAGCAGGAAGAGGGCTTTGCCTGTTGAACACACAGGATTAATGGGAAGATCCAATGAGAACAATGTGAACACTTGGTCACTGTCACCCGTGACACAGTTAGCTGTTGGCGTGATTTGGCAGAGAGGATAGGAGGACACCCCCAAGCTGAGGAGGGCACAGTGTCAGAGTCAGCCAGTTCAGGGTCAGCCGGCACAGTGAGGAATATGTCAGGGTTCAAGGGGTTTCTGTGAACCTAGATAAAATAAAAGGATATGTTTGTTCTCTACGCCCGTGTCTCATTTCTGCTTTGCAAATAGGTTCACGTGCACCATTTTTTTCTAGATTCCACATATACGTATTAGTGTATATATGGCTGGTTCGCTTTGTGGTACGGCAGAAAAGGATAACGCATTGTAAAGCAACTATACCTCAAAAATACCTTTTCTTAAAAATAAATAAACGGAGAAGAAAACATGAACATGGAGAGCTCAGGGTGGCACCTGGCGATGGTGAGAACCCAGCGCAGAGCCACCATTCAAAGCCACGGCCCTGGTTCACCAAGTCAACATGAAGAGCAGGAAGGACCGGGTATGATCAGGTGGGGGGCAGACCCAGAAGGTGAAGCTGGAGTGGGGTTAGACCAACACAACCCCAAGGGCCACTAGAACTAAAGAGTCTGGGACTTCCTCTAAGAAATTTCCGATAAACCTGCTAAATCCAATCAAATTATAACCTGAAAACGTTCTGAGTCTACATGGTGGTGATGGTTTGCACAGCCTCGTGTGTATACTAAAAGCCCCTGGACTGTACATTTTAAAGGATGAGTGTTACTGTTTGATTCCACTTATACAAGGTACCTGCTGCTGCTAAGTCGCTTCAGTCGTGTCTGACTCTGTGCGACCCCATAGACGGCAACCCACCAGGCTTCCCCGTCCCTGGGATTCTCCAGGCAAGAACACTGGAGTGGGTTGCCATTTCTTTCTCCAGTGCATGAAAGTGAAAAGTTAAAGTGAAGTCGCTCAGTCGTGTCTGACTCTTAGCGACCCCATGGACTGCAGCCTACCAGGCTCCTTCGTCCACGGGATTTTCCAGGCAAGAGTACTGGAGTGGGGTGCCATTGCCTTCTCCAATACAAGGTACCTAGAATAGTTCAATTCACAGAGTCAGAAAGTACAAGCATCTCCGGTTAGAAAGTCTCAGGAAAATTCTGAGTACATCTTCAAATTGGCCAGGGGTTGGGTGCAGGGTGTGAGGTGAGTTGGGGAGACGGGAATGGGGAGTCAGTGTTGTTATTAAGAGGGACAGAGTTTCCATTCAGTTCAGTTCAGTTCAGCTGCTCAGTCGTGTCCAACTCTTTGTGACCCCATGAACCGCAGCATGTCAGGCCTCCCTGTCCATCACCAACTCACGGAGTCCACCCAAACCCATGTCCATTGAGTTGGTGATGCCATCCAACCATCTCATCCTCTGTCATCCCCTTCTCCTCCTGCCCTCAATCTTTCCCAGCATCAGAGTCTTTTCCAATGAGTCAGCTCTTCACCTCAGGTGGCCAAAGTATTGGAGTTTCAACTTCAGCATCAGTCCTTCCAATGCACACCCAGGACTGATCTCCTTTAGGATGGACTGGTTGGATCTCCTTGCAGTCCAAGGGACTCTCAAGAGTCTTCTCCAACACTACACTTCAGAAGCATCAATTCTTTGGTGCTCACCTTTCTTTATAGTCCAACTCTCACATCCATACACGACCACTGGAAAAACCATAGCCTTGACTAGACGGACCTTTGTTGACAAAGTAATGTCTTTGCTTTTTAATATGCTGTCTAGATTGGTCATAACTTTCCTTCTAAGGAGTAAGCGTCTTTTAATTAGGAAGGTGAAAAATTGGGGAGGTGGATGATGGTGAAAGTTGAGAGTTGCACAACAATGCGAATGTATTAAGCGC